CAGGAGGATGCCTTTGTTGGGGATGCCCTGTTTTTTTTTTTTGCGGGGGGGTCATTGGGTTAGTGGCTGATGGAGTTGCGGGGGGTTTGGTTGAGGAAGGCGGAGGGGGAAGGAAGGGAAAGAGGGGGGCTGTAAAGTGTTTACATTCTGCATGATCACATCGTAGGCGGAGATTCGGTCCGTCGCGATGAAGAGGAGAGTCTTCGAGTCCACCTCGTATAGATCGCGGACTTTGCCTCGTGCGATGAGGGGCAGGACACCTTGGAGGTCCGTGGTGGTGTAGGATTCCGTCATGGCGGTTGTATCGATTGACCAACGTTTCAATTGGAAAAGGTGTGGGGAAGTAACGGTGGGTAGAATGGGTGGTGGGAGGAAGCTCAATTGCGAGAGTGAGTCAATGGGGAAGGAAGATGGGAAATTGCGGGTGACGGCGACGATAACTAAATCGATAAGCTTTTTTTTTCTCCCGTGGGCGGGGTTCTTGGGTGCCTGAGGCAGAACTTTCGCGGGGATCTATACAGCTACTTATACAACCGAAACCACCACAAGAAATCATATCATTCGTGCTGTCCAGGAGACAAAACGCCATGTAGTATGCAATGCTATACACTCGACTCCGAGCTAGAAGGGCAAAAGCTCGGGATACCTTTTTAACCAAGGGTCGTCGTCCCATTCCATCTCCGGCTGGTCTTCCTTTTCATCGAATATATCGAATCCAAGTACGTGGCGAGGGTCCGAGAAACGGAATTCTCCCACCATCCTACTAATCATCGCCATACCAAGCATTTGGTCGCTCGTCAGCCGCTTCAGGTTCATGTTATCTATTAGATGTGCGATCCGGGTGGTCCTGGGGACCACGGATATATTCTGCTGCACGATCCAGGAGAGGATGAGCTGAGCCCGGCCCCGAAAATTCTTTCTAGACAGCTGGAGAATCTATTCGAGTTGAGTCATTCGACCTTCCAGCATTTTGAAGCACGAGGACCTACATCCGTATCTGTCAATGGTCTTATATGATGGGCATCCGGGCCATCACGCAGCGAAGGCTTGCCCCCGAGCGGCTGATGAGCCATGACATGGATTCCCTCCATTTTGCAAAACTCTCGCAGATCGATCTGTGGAAGATAACTGTCCAGTGATTAACTGAGAATCGAGTACGTTCTTTTCCCTCTGAGCCACTCACGGATGGAGTTCGACCTGGTTGACAGCGGGTCGGATTCGGGCCGTTTGAAGCAACCTCTTGAGTTTGAGAATGTTGAAATTGCAGACCCCTTGTGACGTCAGAAGTTGTCAAGGCAAGTTAACTTGTGATCCTCATACCAATGAGTCTCGCTTTGCCATTGTCGACAAGCCGTTCCATGGCACGCCAGGTTTCAGGATATCGCTTGGATAAAACGTGATCAACCATAGGCTGGTAAATATGACGTGTTAGCATCGGCTTAGCTGATTGTGAATGTCAAGCGTGTACCTTTCCATTGCGATCTTGCCAGGGCAGATACTCGGGGCCTTTAACCAGGGCATGTGGAACTGAAGCAGATGATCAATAATTTGCCTGGCTAATCAGGGGGCGAGCCTCATCGTACAGTGCATGAGGTAAAGGTCCACTATACATAGCAGTAGCAGCAGCGGTCAGTCTTTTTGAACAGCTGTCAAGGCCAGTGAAACACTAACCGTAGTCCAGATTGAGCGCCCTCAAGGTGCGATCAAGAGCACCCTCGACATCGCTAGCAGCGTGGCACGTTTGGGGTCTAGTTCATCTGTATTAGACTGTGATCGGTGTCAACGAGAAGGGGAACTGACAGCTTGGCAGTCACGAAGACCTCTTCTCGAGGAAGCCCACTCTTTTCAATCCCTTCTCCTACCGCCTGCTCGGTCAAATACGCAGCCGCCGTGTCAATGTGGCGATACCCGCACAACAGGCCTTTGAACACGACATCCTTGACCTTCTCGCTGGTCGCACCACCAGGGAATGTGCTCAGCCCGATGGCTGGAATCGTGACCCCCTGGACCGTGAAAGAGACGGGAAGAGAAGTAGGCCTCGTCATGATGGAGACGTTGATTGAGGGTTGAGGAAGGCCGCAAGCCGACGGAGATGTCGAGATGCGAGCTCAAGATATATGGACGGCGTCTCTTCACCGCACCTTGGGCTTTCGAGACATCACTTGCCGGCACACCCCGCTTGTGGATGGGGGATTTGAAATTAGGAGGCATGATGACCGGGGTCTTACCCGAGTAGCTGAGAAAGAGGGCGCATACGCGCATTAGCAGATGGATGGGCTAGACGCTATCAGACAGACTAAGAACCTCATCCCTGTCCGACGCGCAAATCAGATGAAGTGCTGTGTTGTGGCTTGCCGTAGACCTGCAGGCGATGCCGTGGCCTTTTTGATATATCAAGCGAGCTTTGGTCGAGTATAAGGCTGAGTGGGCGGATGCAAAAACCGGTCTCTCGAGACTGCATAAATTGCAGGCATCATGGTGATTCTCATGCTGTAGCCTCTATCCTTTTCGGGCGAGATACAGGAGCAGCTTTGGATAGTACTCATCGAAGCAATGGGGATGAATTATCCGTACTCAACCACTGGCTAGTGTGTCCTTGATGCGCATGGTAGTGTAGCTTGGATAATGTTTGTTTGGTAAGTACTCCGTAGTTCTAGTGAAGTTAGCTTAGTTACCGTAGTCAGCTGTAGAGTAGAGTACTGTGAGTTGGGTAAGTTAACTAGTCTGTCCTCCAGCTTGAGACGGGAGTCTCCTCTCCCTCCGCCTGGTTGCGGACACTAGCTTAACTTCCCGAGCACTCCGTACTTTATGCACATCACCCCCTCCCTCTCCTGCAACTTTCATCCTTCAATGAGGCACTTTCCTGCATCCTAGTCATGACCTGTGTGCTATTTGGGCCCAACTCAATTCTCCACTGGAAGCTAATGCGGGTGAGACTGCCGACGGTCTAGTCTATTCCACCGAGGTCGGACAGATTGGACGTGTCGAAAGCCTTTGCTTCAAAAGATACAGCACATGCTACATCGGGCCATCGTCTTAAGCCAAAACCACACTAGGACTCGACGCATATCTGCACGTATGTCTTGAAACCTTGGTCATGCGGTCAGCCTAGACTGGGGTGGCAACGATTGGGCCAAATTTCCAGGGCAGCATCAAGCGCAACTGACATCACGGGCTACGCAGCTTTGCAATTTTGCGATCATTTGCAGATCCCCGAGACGAAGTTCTCTCATCCTCTACCGCGGGATTTCCTTTCCTCTTGGAGAAATTGATGGGGGGTGAATTGAAGTTTTCACAAAAGGACGGCAAGCCTGCAGCATGTGAATCCCTTCTTTCTTGAGACATCCTGCCATACAGAACGGAGTACAGCCTCACCCATCCGTCGTCGTTTTTGACCTTCAGAGTTATGGCTTTTTGATTTGCTCAGGGTAGAAGATGCAGCTTTTCGGACTTTCTTCAGCACTTGCTCATCGGCAGTCCGGACCGTAATTCCTACACTTTGTTTGCCCTTTCAAGTCCATGATTATGACCTATGGGCTCATGGTTTGATTGTAGAAGGCTGATACCGAGAAATTGGAATGATTACGTCGCTTGAACCAATCGTGGAGCAATACGAACGACTGCCGTTACCCATAGTGATCTTAAATCGCTCGCTGTTAATTCATCGGATGACATGAGCTCGTCGACTCTCGTGACACGACGAAATCAAGAGCTGGGGGATTTTCAATCACGAAGACACTCACTCTGCTCTGTTCCGATTTGGATGACACTGGCTTGATCTTCAGCGATTCGCACACGAATTAGGGTCTAGAGTGCATGGCGAAGGATTTCTGGACCACGGAGGCCCTTGATCGACACGTGGATACGTTTGCCCAAGCTACCACATTCGCCGAGTGGTCAGAAACTTGTCCCAAGCAGCCACAGGGAACTAGAAGGCTCTTCATACACGGAAGCACGCGGCGCGAAGCTTTACCTTGCGACATCAGGTCAAGTTTTGAGCGTTATGGGTTGTGCACTCGCCATTAGCCATGGTAGCTTATGGCTCGCTGGTTCCTGAATGTATCAATAGCGTAAATGGGACTCAGTGGTTCTGGTCGGCGATAATTTCAAAGACAACAGCCCGACTGAGCTCAGCTAAGCGGTGACTCTCGTCACCTTAGACGCCGATGCGCCTCAAGGTGCCCACAAGTTCAAAGATCGTCTATGGGCTTTCGTCTTAGTGTGCTTGTGGTTTTCATGGCGCGGGGCAGACGTATGGTGCTATCGGATGTAGAAAACACTGCTAGGAGGGAGATGCTTTGGTACCATGCAATGAATACCAGGATCATGTGCATTGCTTTTCGCCAACAGAGCTCACGACTTGCTAGTGCGGACGATTCCAGTTGGATCATTGCTCCCACCATCCGATGCAAGGCCACTGGCTGAGAGCGTTGCGTACTTTCATGAGCTCCGCTCTGAGGAGGTCATCTTGTCCGTTGTTTTTGTTTTTTTGAGAGAAAAAATGGGGCTTCGCACAGAACACAAGCAGTCCGAGTCTGGACCATGTGTGGTTCTGACACCACTTTGCGAGAAAGCAAGCACACCACCACAAGCGTGGGTACTATTCGGAATCCGTGAGCTTGTGAGCTTCCGCTCACACATCAATTTGCCTTTTCTTGGGTTGTCCAGCCATTATCGCATCGGAAAAGCTAGATTTGATTGGGCCATGACTATATGTCCAGGGAAATGGAGTAAGTGGACAAGAGGAACGGTTGATACAAGCTCGAGAGAGCACGATGCAGATCCTTCTTAGTTTCACTTCAGTAATGGCAACAGATTGCGGTACTTATAGGCACATCAACAAGCACTCAATCTTGTGATCTTGAGAGCTAGACCCGCTGCATGGAAGAGCGCGTTTTCAGTGTATCTATCACTGGTTGGGGACTCGGGACGGATTAACAACTTCTGAGCGGTAAGTGGGATCTTGACTTGATTACTATCTGCAAGAAACTGGTAGCTATCTAGAGATCTGGCATTTCTGGTTGGCGTTTCGGATCAAACTATGAAGACTTAGGTCAGCCCAGGGAGCTCGTTCTCCCTTGAATCCGTTACTCACACGGGTGTTGGCCCCGATATCCATGATCAGCCCTTCGATCCCAACCACAACAAAGCTCTCGCTCTGGTTCAGCTCATCTTGCGTGTTCTCATAGAATGCCTTTTGCGCCTTGCAGACGGCAGTCACTGACGCGCGATCCTTGAGGAAGATCTTGTAAGCCAGATGGTAAGTTGGCATGCTCGAGCCGCCAAAGTAGGCAGCCAAGTCCATTCCTTCGGGCTGTATACCGATTTCCTTGGGAACTTGGCCGTTCTCATCATCTAGGTCTCTCGTCGTCCGGAGGGGTAGCGACTTTTCGCGGGCCACGATAGGAAGTGGCGCTTCTATATCGCTGAAGTTCAGCCCGTCCGGCCCGACGTGCGTCTTGACGTGCTCGGAAGTGAAGACATTCTTGAGATGCACCCAGTCCCGAAAGTACAGCTCGGTAATATCATCCCGGCCAACCCATGGCTGATTGGCATTCAAGGCATCCGGCCGCCCACCAAAGGCACCATCGAAAAGGTGATCTGAATATATTTGCTGTTTTTTGATTGATATGCATGTTTTAGTTTGATATGAGTATCCTCACGGAGCCAGCGGCTGGAGACAAGCAACGAAACCAGAGAAACCACTGTGGCTTGATATCAGGATCTTCCGGTGCATCGGAGATCGTCCCATGGACTTGGAAATGATGGTTCAGAAACTCCTTCCGGGTCATATCGGGCTTGCACCGGATTGCCACGATCTGTTTGATGAAATTCTCATTGGCAGACATCTTTCCAAGGCTGGTGTTGGAGTTGAGGTACTGGGTGGTACTAGATACCGGTAGCTTCTGCGTGGCCCCATTGTGGGCGAAACGGATGGTTAATAATATGACATATATAGCAATTCATCGCCTCTGGGCCTTCCAATGACCCCGCTGCCATCCACCTCACTGCACCGCATGCGTAAGTAGTATTACTTGCACTGTAGGATAACCTTACTCAAACCCTATCCCTCCCCCGAGTGGGGATCGCGCCGGCGGGGTGAGTGGGGTGGTGCGGGGGGTGGGGAAAAGTAGTTCTATGAGTATTGAGTACACACTATGTGGCGATCTGCCTACCGGCACACAGAGTTATCCTCTTTTCTGCTAGAGGTCAATCAAGTATTCGGTGTACTCGGGCATGACACTCACCCCGCCGTTTGTAAATCTCCTATGGTGGAGCATAGTAAGTACATACTACCGGTAACCCGATCCGGCGCGCCGGCGCACCCAGTCGGACGGCCTGAACTTCTGAGGAACCTTGTTCCCGTTGGGAGATATGAGTGTAGTACTCAACTTTAGGTAGTCTAGCATGATTCTCACCCCGTCGGGTGAGTGGGCCCGATCTGTAGTTAATGCACTCAAATGTCCATCACTCAAATGTCCATAGCAGAACAAGACCCCATCAGCCGATCGCATCGGACATGGGATGGTAGCATACCTATAACGACCCCATCAGTACCACCCTAGGGTCTTTAGTCTAACTCCCCGAATCATCAGAGTCCCTATTGCCCTATTGCACTTGGAAAACACCCAGTCTTGATCTCTTTCCCATACAAAATGGCGTCTACCCGTTCGAGATATCAAACCACTAGTCCGATGTCGAGGGCTATACTCGCACAAAGCATACTTATATCCCCATGCGGGATGGGGTTGAATTGTGCGCTGACCTCTTCCTACCTTTCGCCGCCTCTAAGGAGGGTAAACAGATCCCCGTGATCTGTAGCATGGGACTGTATGGCAAGGACATTCATGCGTCCACATTTGGACTCCCCAAGACCCCGATTTACGCGGAAATGTACAAGCACATCAAAACACTGGGGCCAGATGCTGCATTTGAGCTGTGCGAGCCTACTATCTGGGTACGTGGGCAATCTTAACCCTTCCAACGATTCCAATCGATTCCTCGTTCCTAACTGTTGTGCGCAGTGTCGGGAATATGGCTATGCTCTGCTCCGCGCTGATGTGCGGGGCGTTGGAGGCAGTCAAGGGAAACTCGATCCCTCTGGTCTGGAGCGCTCCTAAAGGATCCAAGCGGATGCAGAGGGACAAGGTATTTCAGCCAAGCAAGCAGAGAGATAGCAGGACTGACTTTGCTGGCCAGATCTCTATGATGTCGTCGAATGGGCTGCCGACCAACCCTAGTGTACAGGGAAAGTAGCTTTCTCCGGCATCAGCTACTTCGGCATGGTTGGCTACTGGGCTGCAATCCTGTGTCATGTCATACGAGTCCGCATGCAGTATGTACCAAGCGGCCCGAAGAGGTGGAATCCACAGCCACAACTTCCAGTCCCGCTGGTTTCACAATATCGTGGTTCCCTACCAGGGTGGAAGGCAGGACGGTACTCTCACAGAAGAACAGTTGGCCGCTAACCTTGGGGTAGTCCCGTGTGGACTACCCCAAGCTGCTCACCCTGACAGAATACCCCACGGACGGTGCGTGGGCGGTCTTGGAGAAGGTCCGCAAGCTGTCGGACATTGAAGTGCCATTCTACTCCGCGGGGAATTGGACTGACCCTGAGCTTCATTTACCCGGCAACATCCGCGCTTTCAACGGCATCTCGTCCCAATATAAATGGTTGGAAATGCATACCGGAAACCACCTGGGCGCGTTCTATGAGCCAGATCACATTGCGCTGCAAAAGAAATTCTTGGACCACTTCCTCTTCGACAAAAAGGCCAATGGCATACTCGATGTCCCTCGCATTCCCTTGCTACAGCACCACGGTACGGAGACTCTCTACCGCGAGCATGAGGTGTCTTTCCCGCCGGCCGACGCCGAGGATGTCAGTTTCTACCTCACCCCAGAGAAGAAGTTGTCCTTGGCCCTACCATCCGGGAGCAAGGAGTCCTTTAGCTATGCTGGATTCAAGGAGTCTCTCAACTTCTCCTTGGAATCCCCAGTTCCGGAATCCTTTGAGCTTTTGGGATCCCCTTACCTCGAGCTCGAAGTGTCTACACAGGCCAAGGATCTCGATCTCTTCGTTTACCTCCGGGCTGTGGACGCCGACGGAAATGTGATCGTGCTTCGTGGGAACCATGGCGAGCCGATGGACACCTTCGCCCGAGGATACTTCCGTCTCTCGCACCGGGATGAAGTTGCCAAAGACATCCTGAAGGAGAAGGTACTGGCCCAGAAATCCATGGCACGCTCTGAAGTTGCGCAAGGGAAGGTTTACTCGGTCCTCGTGCCTCTGTACCCGGCGGCGTTTCTGTTTGGCCCGAACCAGAGGCTCGAGCTTGAGATCGGTTCCGTCAACACCCCTAGCACCATTCCCCCGATGCGTCATGAAGGTGGGGACAGGCTTCCGGAAGGATTCGAGGGCGAGAACGTCATCTTTTCTCATGGGTAACTGGTTCTACCCCGTGTGCGGCGGTGATTCGGGATGTTCTTTTGAAGAAGTTCAGGGTTATATCCTGCCAGGTATCTAGCGGTTCGCAGTTCGGGAAGAATCCATGTAGTATAAGGATTAGTTGCATATGAGTCCATTGTCAATAACCAGAATGGGTTGTGGAATTTTTGGGAAGTGCGTG